ATATTTGTGAGAGTTAGTGAGTTAAATAATATATGCATAGGCTGCAAAGTTTTCTTTCCCAATGTCTGGTGCCTATAAAACTGGTCTCAACATCTGGAAAGACTGGGTTTACAAAATAAAGATGGAATAAAAGTGAGTCCACAATTAAACAGTATGTTCAGCAATTGGGTAACCAGTTCACAAACTTGAATTTCCCTGATGTATTGTTGTACAAAAACTGCCTAGAGCACATTTTCACATCTATTTTCTCAATGTTTTCCATAACTGAGAAACTCATATGGTCTTTTTTTTCCCTGCCTCCTGGGGATAGAAAATTGGCAACTGTACATGGGGTATTTTAATCAGGTAAGTTTTCCTGGCTATTCCTGTTAATCACATCAGGCAGTGCAGTATAGCTTTTGCTTGCAATATGAAACAGAGTGTTACACTCAAGATGTAGTTCATAACCCTTTATTAGTTCTTTCCCCTATCATTTCTCCACTGAATGTGAGCGTCTTTGGCCAGAAACATGCTGAGCCCCAGAGATAGCAAACAGAGACACGTCATTTCCTTCCCTAAGAAAGCAGGTAGTGCTAACTCAAGTCACCACCAATCATCATTCAGGACCCAAACAACTGTGGCAGGGTTTACTTGGCAGAGAGAAGGCGAAAGGGAAGATTCTCAGAAACTTTGCTTAACTAGATCTTTAATGCCACAAACTTCTCAAGACAGCATCTGTAGTCTAAAATCAAAAAAACTAGTTGGGGAATTTGAGTATTTCAGGTTTCAGTCTCTCTACACAGTACCTGTAAGGGATGGAAATTCAAAAACATCAACTTTCTACTTTTCCTTTGTTCTATGTTATGAATACTACTGACTAGTTTCTAGCAGTCTTCTTATTTAAAATCCTAACAGTAAAATACACAGAATGGAGCCAAATGTTAATTTACAAGTGGACAATATTCCAAATTTGAATAAGCAGCAGTATCCAAAATGTGATTTTGTAATTTACATGAAATGTATATTTTGGGCCAAAAGTATTTCTCATATCATTTGATCAAATTGGATAACTAGGAGCACCAACCCCTGGTAAGCCCTTTAATCAGAATATGCAACTCCCCCATTATCACAAAAAGGGAAGAGAAGGGGAACATTTTAAAAATAGAGTCTCACCAGTGAAAATCTAAGAGGACAAAAGCTTCACAATTTAGAACAATTTTGCCAACTACTAATTACAACATACGGCAAAGCAAGCCTTGATCTTTCAGATCAAGTATACAGAAAAGCTTGAATGATTTGTTTAAAATTATACAGAAAATGCATTTTGAATTTTCCTGTTTGACCAATCAGATCCTAAAGTTATTATTTGCAATCTCCCCCTACATTTGTCTGTACCTTTAAATTTTTGAGTGAAAAAGAAACTTTTTGATAACAAGCCAAAAAAGCAAGATTTAGCCATGAAAAAGAAGGTAGGGGAAAGGAAACTATTTGGTGAGTGTTTTGCATGTATGAGGTCCAATGGTCACTCACATCACAAAAACAAGCAGATCGATTAGATTAAGTCATGGCTAAATTCTGGAGATAGGCTATGTATACAAACGTATCATGCAGTATGACTGATAGCTATAGTTAAAATTACATATTTTAAAGTTGTTCAAGAGACTAGATCTCTAAAGGAATCATCATAAGAAACAAACTTCTAATGGGAGAACTGGTCCCCACAACTGAGTCTGGAGGGAGGGGTTTTGAAAAGAGGAAAGTTGAAGTCCTTGGGTGAGAGAGGTGGATATGCTAGGAAGGTGTTGGAATTATTATTGGAAACCATAATTAGAAGATAAATAGTACTGTAAATCAGGAATATTAGTCAATAAAATCGAGAAAAAAATTCTATGTGTAGAGATAGGTAGTATCTAGATTTATTGTGATACTTATTTAATAATCATATATTGAATCTTATTATATATGTTGAATCTTATGTTGTACACCTAAAACTAATATGTTTTACGTCAATAATATCTCCATTTTAAAAAATGGCCAAATAGGCATTTTGACAAGATATTCAAGTAACTAATAAGAATATGAAAATATTTTTAACATGGTTAGTCATCAGGGGAATATAAATCAAATTACAATGTATTACCAATTCATCTCTCCTAGAATAAATATATTGATATTTAAAAGGGAAATAACAAGGTATTATTTGTTATATTCACTTAGACAAAATATTCACTTAGAATCATTGCTTCACCTGCCCATGTAGTTTTATTTTGCAAATAACTATATAATCAACATGTACACATCAACATGTACATATTGAGAGTTCTCTAAAATGTCTAGGTCTTAAATGTTTCTTTACTTTTTAATGTAGTAAGGCAGAACACAAAGAAATTCAGATTAAATTTTATAGGGTAAAAGATGTACCCAATTCTCCAGAAGTTTGGGTCATTTCTTCATAAACAAATTTATTCCCTAATGAACTTCAATTTGTAATTCTTAAAATAATGGAAGATTTAAAACCCAAAACAAGCCCAAACCAAAGAAATAAAATCTCTCATGTCTCATCTTCAAAAAGACCTCCTTACAAAAGACACACAATCAATTCCGTATGCCTTGCTTTTCTCCTGGACACACAATACAAATATATTAAATATGTTTTCTATATATGTGATACTAGCACACTGAGATAAATGTCTTTCCCCATGAAAATCCAAAAGACATGCACAAGAACAATTACTTAGAGTCAAATAAGGTGTATATATATATATATATATATATATGTGTGTGTGTGTGTAAGCACATCCATTACAAAAATTGCTTACATTATAAATTACATTATAAATCCTTTCTGTAGCACTGTCCTCCCGTTGTTCATCGATTTGCTTGAGGCCCAGTTAAGTCTCCATTGTGAGACTTGTTGTTACTGTGTTTGGCATACTAAATATGTCACAGGTAGCTTGCCAGGCTTTGCTGTGTGAGCGAGATACTCTCGGTAGCTTGCAGGGCTCTCTGAGGGGGAGGAAGAATCAAACCTTTCTCAGCTGGGCCGGCTGCACGCAAGGCAAACGCCCTACCACTGGGCTAGAATGATTACTAAATAATCAGTCATGGCCAAATAAGGTATATTTGTAAGCACACCTCCAATATAGCAGTACTTTTAGAGTTAGGAAAAGTTGGAAGGTGAAAGATTAGAACAAGAGTTCAACTAATGATTGAATAGTCAGTGTTTGGAATGAAAGAAGGAATGAGAAAGACAGGGAAGCTCTTGCTTCGAAAGTTTGACTGTAAGCTAACAAATACCAATGGACTAATATTCTCACTTCCGTGTATCTAGGTTTTCATTTAAGTGTTTATACAGCTAACATAAGATTTTTGGACGATGACTTAATTGCATTTTCGACTTGCACTTACTTGGCAAAATCAAAATGATTTTTGATTATGCCTCATCATTTTAGCTTTCAGAAATAGCTATGAGCTACTTCATTTGTCACCAACAAAAGAGACTGCTGTCCCCTGCCAAGCTCATCATCAGGGAATATCTTTAATGTGACTGCTTTGATAAAACCCTGGCACCACATTTCCCTTAGATTCAAAATAGAGCAGGAAGTCTGGCCAAGTATGAATTTGGTAGGCCCCTCAGATGTAAAATGCAATCAGTGAGGTTCTTCCCCTTTCCACTGTAAACTTACACTTCTTGGAATCACACTTTCTTGGTCCCAAAGGAACTGTCAGTTGGCCAAACTATGACTCTGGACAACCACAACATATCAGCTGTTGTTCTGGTTTTTCACAGTGTTTTTATATTAACCCCAAAACTACTGGGATGATTTTTGGAAACAGTGATGCTAAGTTTATATAGTGCTACTAACTTGTCAAAACACAAGCATTCTCTCACATCCTCCTCTCAAAATTCAAAGAATGATCTAAAACTCATGTCTGCACTGCCTCTAGTCTATTCCTCTTACCTATCCCTGTCATCTGGAGGCTTGCCTTTTGTTGGTCAAGATACAAAGCCAAGTCATCCCAGAATTCTCCTTTTCTTTGACTACAATTCAATTACCTCTAAAAATCTTCTTCCTTCTAGTTTCATCTTTTAAGCTCACTCATCATCTCTCATCTAGACCACTACAGCAGCTTCCCTGGACTTGGGTTATTATATTCTCCACATTCTCCCACTTCCCTGCTTCTAATTTCACTGACACTACCATTAGGTTAAATTCAAACACACATAAGGTCCCTCACCATATGAACCCTGCTCACCATTCCTCTATCTGGCGATAGCGAACTCCTGAAATTTCCTAAACATGACAAACTTTTCTCTACATCCATGCCTTTGATATGCCGACTTACTTTTCAGGACTCCCTTAGATGTCATTACATCCAGGAAAACTCTCCTACCCATCCTTCCAAGCCATAAGCCTGTCCTGTGTGTCCTTAGAAAACCCAGAATTCACATCCATTACTTTCTGTTGTTATTGGCCTCCTTGTCATTTAACCCACTAGATTTGAAGCAAAGTGAATGAAAGGGTAAAGTCTTATTTATAAGTATCCTCAGAGTCCAGCACCTGTACTTATTTTTCTTAGCAAGTGTTCAACAAATGCTTTTTGGATCAATAAAGGAAGAGGTTTCATGAAATTTTGTAATTTTACTAGTAATTTTTATAGAGCATGACTCAGAAATGAAAAAAATTATAAATCCAAGGCAGAAATTCATTAAATGAGTTAATTAAATCAAAGATAAGTTTAAAAAAGAACTAAGACTAAAGCCCAAATTTCATGATTCCTGGTCCTGTAGAGACAGACCACCATATTTCCACTAGTTGGGATTTCAACAACAGAACAATTCAGTCGTAATAAGTGGAGTAAGCAGAATAGCATTGATAAAGAAAGGCAAATCTATAAGTCAACTTCCCCCATGTCTGACATAGAATCAGCATTATACTAAGTGGGTCTTTAAAACCACTTCTCATACAAATGCCCAGTCTTCCTGATAGCCTTAAGTCTGGTTTCAAAGATCACACTACCTTTCTCCTGTGTCACATGTTGAAGTAATTTCTCAAGTTCAGGAAGTTTCAGCAACAAGATACAATTCGGAAACATGTCATCCATCACAACTTGATCTAAGGGCTGAAATTTTCCCTGAAATTAGGGTGAAGGTATACATTATTTAACCAGAATGCAGGTATTCCAATCAAGACATTCACACATTTGGGGCTAGAGTCATAATTTTGCAGGCAGGGCCCTTGCCTTGCATGCAGCTGACCCCGATTCAATTCCCCGCATCTCATAAGGTACGCTGAGCACTACTGGGAGTGATTCCAGAATGAAGAGCAAGGAATAACCCCTGAGAATCACCAGATGTGACCCCAAAAAGAAAAAGAAATCCAAAACTCACATTAAGAAAAAGAGTGAGACGTATTTATTACATGTGACTAGAAAATATCATAATATAAAAATAACATGAGACTGACACATAAGGATAGTAGAGAAAGGGCCAGAAATATTGCTCCATGGTTGGCAGCTTGACTCATGAGTTGGAGGAGAAGGCAGCTGGAATATAGAAGTGATCATTAAGTCAAAGATGGTTAGAGGGATTGTTCGGTATAGAAGATGTGTGCTGAAAGTAGATAAAGGACCAAACGTCTCAGTATCTGTATTGCAAACCATAATGCCTAAAAGTAGAGAAAGTAGAGCAAGAGTATGGGGGAAACTGTCTGCCACTGAGGCAGGGGGAGGGGTTGGATAGTGGGGGGAGGTAGTGGGGACATTGGTGGTGGAAAATGTGAGGGTGGAGGAATGGGTGTTTGATCATTGTATGACTGAAACTCAAATATGAAAGCTTTGAAACTATATCTCATGGTGATTCAGTAAAAAAAAAAAGAAAAGAAAATATCATAAATAAGAATCAGTTTCCTCCTTGAATACTCCTAGGTTATTCCCTCAGAATGAGATGGGAGATTCTACTGTCTTCTATTAAATCAGACCTCAAACATTTTGAAGAAATGTGAAATACTGAATTTTATTGTGGCATAAAAAAAATTCTATTTATAATAACATGTAATGGAATTATTAATTTAAGATATTTGAAAACTTCTCAGTTTCTATTTTAATACAGTGTATACCGAGAGAAATCTATACAAGTTCTTTGGTATGCTTAATAATTTTTAAGTGTATAAAGATACCCTAAGATCAAATGATAGTAATATCAAAATCAATTAGCACAGCGGTAGGGCGTCTGCCTTGCACGCAGCCAACATGGCCGACCCGAGTTCGATTCCTCCGCCCCTCTCGGAGAGCCCGGCAAGCTACCGAGAGTATCTCGCCCGCACGGCAGAGCCTGGCAAGCTCCCCGTGATGTATTCGATATGCCAGACACAGTAACAACAGAGTCTCCAATGGAGACATTACTGGGCCCGCTCGAGCAAATTATATTACAAAAGATGTATTTTATCTCCACGAGAGGGCTCCCCCCCCCCCCCCAATTAATAGTCGCTTATTAGGCACATACTAGTTAAGTTATTTCAGTCTCCCACACAAAAAAGTAAATGAGTTTCCAGTTTGTCTCCATTCTCTGTCACTGTCTCTGTCTCTCTTTTGCAGATGTGTGGGTTTGGGGCCACACCCAGTGGTGTTGAGGGGGTTCCAGCTCTATTCCTAGAAGGTCCCAGAGGTTATCCCTGAGGTTGGCCACGTGCAAGGTAGGTGTCCTAATTATCTACAATTTCTTAAGCGCAAGATGACATATCTGGGGGCTGGAGCGATAGCACAGTGGGTAGGACGTTTGCCTTGCACATGGCTGACCTGGGTTTGATTCCCCACATCCCATATGGTCCCCTGAGCACCACCAGGAGTAATTCCTGACTGAAGAGCTAAGAGTAACTCCTGTGCATTGCCAGGTGTGATCCAAAAAAAACAAAACAAAACAAAAGACATATCTTCTAAAGTTGGTGGTAACTTTCTTAACACTTGTCTCATATTTCAAAACTGAGTAGTACTTACTGATCAAATCTCAAACAAATAAGGCACATAGTATGAAGGGTTAGCTGATGAGAGGTCAAGGTTAAGCTAGTTTAAGACTAAGATTAAGGTACTGGTTCTCAGGTCTACATGTCAGGGCTTTGATCTATACCAGAACATGAGGCACAAGTGTTCTGTAGCACTGTAGCACTGTCCTCCCGTTGTTCATCAATTTGCTTAAGCGGGCACCAGGAACATCTCCATTATGAGACTTGTTGTTACTGTTTTTTTGCATATTGAATACGCCACGGGTAACTTGACAAGTTCTACTGTGTGGGTGGGGTACTCTCGGTAGCTTGTTGGGCTCTCCAAGAGGGATAGAGGAATTGAACCTGGGTTGGCGGTGTGTATGGCAAATATACTATCAGCTGTGCTATTGCTCCAGCTCAACATGTGTTCTACACCAACCAAGTCAAATCGGAGTAGGAAATCAACATTTGGATCATAGAAAGAGGAAGGATGTCAAGCAAAAAACGACCTATTTTGTTTCCTCACTGTCAATATTCCAAACTGGAAACTCACCACTTTATCAGCCTTTATAAGATAGTAGAGAAGAAGAAATAGAGGGTCCATGGGTGTTGCAAAGTGGAGAAGACCACCTACAGAAAAAGAAACAAAGGGAATTAGATGTCTTGGAAGAATAATTTACTTGTTTCATTTCAATTCCAGTGTGAAAATCACTTGAAGAAAAATATATGTGGAATATCAAATTCAGAAGCTTATAAAGGCCTAAGAGTGAATATGGTTCTCTCAAAAGACAGAATTTGATCTATGAGATTTTACTTCAAAGAGTTGCAAATTTCTTTTTTTTTTCCTTGGGGGGGGGGATATTTTATAGCCACATGTTGCCATGGGAATCAGCTATAGAATGGTGTTTTCCATAAATGGTTAATACCTGGGAATGGCCATTAATAAAAGAGAGTTGCAAATTTCTGTATGGAGAGGTGAATCAAGACAGCAGACATGATTTTTCAAAGTTTCTATTTCTTTGGTAAAAATTATCTTTAACAGAGTTCTTCCCTCCAAAACCAAGTGCGGGTTAAGGGAAAGAGAGACAAACCAGGCAAAAATTAGAAAAGTTGTGTAAATAAAATATAACCTATTGTAAAACGTTATTTTCAGTGTTGCTGGGATTGAAGTATTGAATGCATTACCCACTCTGGACATGGTCCCTTCTATGATTTGTAAACTCACAACTCTGGACTGTCATTGCTTCAGAATTTAAAAGGCTGTTATCCACCACAAAGCTTAGCCCCATTACTCCATGGCCTGAAGAAAAGGGCAAGAGGGTAGGAAAAGTCCCTGTCAAGACAGAGCATAAGCAAACTAGAAGCTTTGTGGTAAGATGCTGGGTGGTGTGCTGGCACAAAGATAAAGGGCAAAAGAAGAGAGAGAGAGAGAGAGAGAGAGAGAGAGAAAACGGGGAAAAGGGGGGTATATTGGGGAGATTTGGGGAGATTGGTGGTGGGGAATGTGCACTGGTGGAGGGATGGGTGTTTGAACATTGTATGATTATACCTCAAACATGAAAGCTTATAACTATCTCACGGTAATTCAATAAAACAATAATTTTTTTTTAAAAAAGATAAAGGGCAAATAAGGGAAATTAGCCAGCCCGCTTCTTTGTAGTCCCCTCAAGAATCCTAAGCCCCTTCTTCCGTGTAAGTGAACCTGTTTTGTTTTTGTTTTAATCAAATGGAACAAGAAACACTTTAATATAAATATACCATAGGTTCTGGTTACTTTAATTATACTGTAGCACTGTCCTCCTGTTGGTCAAAGATTTGCTCGAGCGGGCCCAGTAACGTCTCCATCGTGAGACTTGTTGTTACTGTGTTTGGCATATCAAATACATCACGGGGAGCTTGCCAGAATTTGCCGTGTGGGCAAAATACTCTCGGTAGCTCACTGGGCTCTCCGAGAGAGGCAGAGGAATTGAACCCGGCTCGGCCGGGCCGGCCGCATGCAAGACAAATGCCCTACCGCTGTGCTATATATTATAATTATATTTAATCATTTTGGCTTCAGGAAACATAGTTCTCTACCTTAGTTCTTTAATAGAAAAAACAAATATACTGACAAGAAATTTAAATTTTAAATTTTATATATATATATGAATCCATTTCACAGTAAATAAATACAAATTAAGGAAGTAATATGACATTGACTGATTTGCAGGGAGGTGGACACGTGCATTGCTTAGGGGCAACTCTTAGTTCTCTGCTCAGGTGTTACTCCTGGCAATGCTCAGGGTCTATGTGGTAACTGGGGGTCAAATGTCTATGAGGTAACCATTATATTCAGAAATTAGGAATAAGTTTCTTGGTATACAAGTAATATCCTGATGGTTATTCTTAAAAGTAGCTGTTTCAAATTAAGTTTCAATGACGAAAAAGCAGGCAGCATTACTGTGAACCTAATGCTCCCTGAAGACTCTCCCCCTTGCAGAAATCAGGTCATAAAAGCACCTGAAATTCTGTTTTCTTCTGAGTGAATATTACTTTGAGATTAAAGGTATGTTTTAAAAACATTCAGTGTTGCTGGATGGTTATATATGTTAAAGGAAGGAAGATGGCTATAGTAATTTATATGATAAAGCATGAAAAAAATCTGTTGTCATCTACTTTATTTATTTATTTATTTTTTGCAGGATTTTCTCTCATTTACTTCAAGTTCTTCACATCCCTTATCTTTTTTTAAAAAAATTTTTATTAGTGAAACACCATGAGGTACAGTTGTAGACTTACAAATTTTTGTGCTTGGGTTTCAATTATACAATGATCAAATACCCATCCCTCCACCAGTGCCCATTTCTCACCACCATGGATCCCAGTATCCCTCCCACCCCCCATTCCCCCATCCCACCCTGCCTCTGTGGCAGGGCATTCCCTTTTGTTCTCTCTCTCTTATTGGGTGTTGTGGTTTGCAAGAGAGGCAATGGGTGACAATCATGTTTGGTCTATAGTCTACTTTCAGCATGTTGCCAGTTACTTTAGAAGCTACCGCTGCATTACACATTCAAGGAGAAAGGTGTAAAATAAACCTGAGTGCCTCCAACCGGGTTTAACAGCAGAGTGAAGAGTTTCCATTCAGTTCAGCGTGCACAAAGGCAATTAAATAGCTGACTGTGCTAGTGTTTCAGAGTTGCTAGTTTAAATCTCATCATCCGAAACACAGAGAGGCATTGCTCAAAAGTTGAGCAAAGCTTTCCTTTCTCCTTCATGAAAACCTGCTCTCATGACAAGGAAGGCTAAACCACGACAGACTCCAAACCAGATAGATCCACATGTAAAGGACAGAAAAGTATGTGTTTAGTTAATGGAAATATATATATGTATACTTCCATTATATATATATATATATATATCACTCACCTGATTGAACTGACTGATTTATAAACCAAGAATGGTGTTTTTCCTTAAAAACCTTTATTTCAAAAAGCTGCTGCAGACACATATTAAACAAGTAAATGGCTCCTTCCCCTGTTAAAAAAAAAATCTATTTTTTATTTGTTTATTTGTGAATTCTCACACACACACACACACACACACACACACACACACACACACACACACTCAAGACTATCCAATAGTTCTAAGGAATGTTCTTAATATGAACATAACATACATAGATATATTCTATACAAAGCAACTCCCAAGAAAGCTTATAGCTATTATATGCAGATGCTTGTTTTCTAGCTTCATAATCCTCACTGAAATTAAACCAATAAATTAAAAATTGCAAGTCATTTATCTTAAATGCTGCAAAGCCTTTCAAATCAAATCATCAGATCAGGAAGAAAAAGCCATTCTGACCAAAAACCTCCCAAACCCAAAGATTCAGTCAAATAAACTGAGTAGGCCAGTGGATTCTTGTGGTTCAGGTGCCCTCAGTCCAACCTAGACCCTCAGCCTGAGTACAAAGCGAAGGCAGCTTTCCATAAGGAAGGCCGGGGTCCCACAGCAGTTACAGGCCTCAGGCTGCAAGGAGTCCAGCTCCAATCCATGAGGATGAGTTTTATGCTTTCTCTGAAATAAATAAAAGCTGGAAGTGGGCGAAGACGTGTTGTAGGTTTTATTACCTCAAAGCAAGGAATATTTTTCTAAATATAGGGCAACTAAGGACCTTGAGTCTGACCCCATCTCCACCACACGTGTGCTCTTAAGGAGCTTCTCTGTGCCTCAGTTTCCCAATCTGCATTATAGGAGCAATACTGAATTCACCTCACGAGTATCTGCTTGTATTAAAAAAAAAATACACACCAAGGTCTGAAAGGCAGACTTGGTGCCTAGTCAGGACACAGAAACTGTAAGCATGTGTTTTACCACAGCCAACAAAACAAAAAAAACCCCATTTGTTCTGCTGTCTAAACATTCTGATAAAATGTAAGTTTTACCAGTAGACTGACTTTGTTACTTTTTTCCATCCTTTTAACTAAATACTTTTTGATTCTTTACTGCTTCTAAAACTTCTCTTGGGAAAAAAAAATTGCCTCAACTCAGTCCTAGCTAAGAGTTCCAAATGGTTACAGGTGCTAAATTGTAATTAAGTTCATGATGAGCAAAATAAGGAAGTCAAAAATTCTTTTCTGCTGTTTTTATTAATATATCTTTCAAACAAATCAAACATCAAGGTAGATACGTTGGCTTTCCCTTACTTCACTATTATTATAGTCACTGAGAGACAGCTCTAACTTGCTAATTATTTTGTATCCAGGCAAATCTTTATAAAGCTAGCAATAACCCGATAAGATAAAACTTATAAAATGAAGTAATGTAATAACAGCTACACAGAGATAAAACAGTATCATCAGCATTAGTATCTATAGTTCTTTTAATTTTTTTATCTAAAGATTAAAAGTACAGAAAAATCACCAAAAATAAAATTTAAGTAAAATCATTTCCAGCAAAATACATGCCTTTTCAATACACAAAGTTTTTAAAATAAAAAAGACAATCGCCCCTTGACAGAGAAAATTTACAGACTACTTTTGGTCACAAGAAGGAAAGTACAGTTAAAAATGAAACTACTCAAAATCTTGACTTGTCGAGTAAAAACCTCCTTAAAAAAAAAAAACCCATGGCTGCTTATTTTACTTCATAACATAAAGTGAATATAAGAAAAGTTGGCTTGTGAAAGTCAAAGAAAATTAATGTTTTCTAAGAGAAATCAAACATGCTACATTTTTGTTTTGCCAACATTTCTGATGAATGAACAGTTCTATGGATTAAAATTCTAAGAAGAAATACAAATATTTACAGTGAATGAATTATCTGAGAAGCCTAGGAATGTCATACATTTGCCTTTGTCGTCCTGCAATGCTGACTTACCTTTAAATGGCATTCAGGAAGGAAAAAAACATACAAAGTCAAATAAGTAAATTTCCCTTTAAGTCAGTGTTTGAAAAAAAAAACAATTTCAAGTTATTATTACTGGATAAAAAAGGGAGTGGGGTGAGAACTTACCTGAACATGGGTGAACTAATTTTACAAACATAAGCCCATTCTTCATCTTTTTGGAAGTATTTTTCAGATATTCTGAAAGAAAATGGTGAGTTTATAAAATTACAAAACATCTGCTTTAGCGTTTTATGTACTTCACCCTTATTTTGTTTATTTTTGGGGGGCAGTGGAGGGTTCCAAGTGGTGCTCTGGAGACCTTGAGGACCAGGGTCTTCAACGGGTTCCTCTTAGTGACCCACCAATCAAACCAGTGGTTGACAAAGAGTTCAAGGTTGAGGTGCTGCTCAGGCCTCTGTCAGGATCAGACTGGGGTCAGCCACACACCAGGCATCCAACTATACCCCTACTAACTTTCTTTGGCCTATTTTATTGTCTACTTTCTATATGAATTTTCACTCTGAAAATTTTAAGCAAAATTTTATTGGTGACAGGCTGTGTGATCAGCAAATGGCTAATTTCCATATAAACTGCAGTAGAATTTTAAGCAGATTTTCTTTCTTGGAGAAGTTAGGAGCAAGACTAATAGTCTACTGTCCTGGGTAAAGCCTTGACTCAAACTTTTACTCATTTTTTTTCTCTTGGTCATGTTACTCAGTTGTCACAATTTTTACTGTGGCTCCCTTGAAATATTCTGGGGCCCTGTGGGGAGGGGGATGGGCACATAATACCTGCTGAGAAGCGCTACTTTAAAGGTAAGCTTTCCCCAAGGAACAAAATCAGCCTCACATGAAGCAGAGCAACCAGAGACCCTCAAAGACAGGAAAGGGACTCTACTCCCTTCTCTTTTCTAAGGCCTCCATTCCCTTTAGACCACTTCATATTCTCATAAACTTGAATACAGAAAGCATGTTTTGAAAGTAGCTTTCTTGCCAATGATTACCATCATCTTATCTTATTTTATTTTATTTTATTTGCTTTTGGGGTCACACCCAGCAATGCTCAGGGGTTACTCCTGGTTTTGCACTCAGGAATTACTCCTGGCGGTGCTTGAAGGACCATATGGGATGCCGGGGATCGAACACGGGTTAGCCGCATGCAAGGCAAATTCCCTACCCGCTGTGCTATCGCTCTGGCCCTGATTACCATCATTTTAAAAATAAGTGATATTTAAAATATGAAGAAAAGATATGAAGAAAAAATTTTGACTCACAGTATTACCAAATTTTAACCCACTGTACTATCATCGCTCCAGCCCCGAATTTTGAGATTTCTACTTGTAACCAAATGGTGTCCAGGAATCCAATTTATCCTCCCACCTGATACAACCAGAAAAATAAATAAATAAATAAATAAATAAATAAATAAATAAAAAGATTACTTTTCACATGACCCATAGAAGACAGGGTAAACAAAAATGGGAAACAGGGGAGGTGAGCCCTCTGATTGCCTCATTTTACTACCTTTTGACTTTCCGCAGAACGGAGAAGCCAGAGAAGCTAGGCAGGCACCCTATGCTGAAGAGAAAAAGCAAAGAGCCCTAGAGACAACATGGCTAGAGTTAACAGACAAGGAAGGAGAGAGCTATAAAGAGAGAAAATTCATGAGATTTACAAAGGTACTGTGGGAGCATTTGACTTGCACCAGTAGAGGCAAGTCAAGGAATTACCTAGGGGTCAGGAAAAAAGATCTTCTGAACAGAGAGTCTGGAAACTTCATAATTCAGAGGTCACAGGGTGACATCCTTCAACAGGCATTGACTGTCAACCAGGGCCACAGTCATGAACTCTGAGAACTACAGAAGTATACTTGAGGGCTGGTAGGTAGCTCAGAGGGCTAGTGCACACAGTTTGCAATGTGAGGAGCCCTGGGTTTGATTCCCAACACTGAGTGGTCTCCTGAGCACTGAGCCAGGAATAGACTTCAACCAGGTGCAAAATCAAACAAACAAGAGAAGCATCCTTTAAATGGGTCAAACTGGTTTCAAGAAACTTAACTGTTGATTTCCCAGAATAAAAATCATCACGCAGATTACTTAGAGCATTACATCACCTGGAAAAGGGAGGTAAACCTTGCACTATCTGGCATCTAATCAAATATCACTAAACATTCAAAGACGCATTCAAAAAGCTTATGGCGAGAAAAATAAGCAAACCGATTATTGAAAGAGGAGTGCTGATATTAGACACAAATATTAGAACCGACAAAGACATTAGAGACTATTCTTTATGTAAAATAAGACAGAAACATGGAAAAAATTTTCTTTGTAAAGACTGAAGTGGAAAAGAAAAATACACCAGATGGGATAGATGGCAGTAGAAAATAGTAATGAACTTAAAATAGAGAATTAAAAATTAGATTATTAATGAACTATGTGTCAGCTCCAAGAGTATTAATATATACACAATTGGAATTTCTAAAAATGAGGTAGAAAATTGAAAAAATATTTGAAGAAAGCACTGCTGAATATTTTCAAATTTGATGAAATCTGTATATCTATTCATCCAAAAAAGTTTAATGAACTCAGAACAAAAACAGAAATAAAACTACAATAAATAAAAAACAAAGCTATATATCAAGACCAACAGTTCAAAATCAGTAATAAAAAAATCTTAAAAGCAGACACATGAGGGGGGTGGAATACATCATATACAGAGAGCGAAGCTTAAAATGACAAGCTTCTTGTTGGAAACTCAAACCCAGAGACAATGGAAAAACATCTTTAAAGCATTAAAATACAATATGATGATCCTAGAGAAAAAATGCTTGAAAAATGAAGGCGATACAGTTTTTCAGACATACAAGAACTAAAAGGAATAATCACCCACAGACTCATACTACCAGGAATGCTAAAAGAAGTCCTTTTTGCAGAAGGAATATGATACTAGATGAAAATGTGATTCTAAACAAAGGAATGAAGAATACTGGTAATGGTGACTGCTGAGGTTTAAAATAAAACTTTTTATAATAATTCAGATCTCTTTAAAAATTCTTGATTAAGCAAAGATAACTCTGAGGTTTATAACATGTATAAATAAAACACATGAAACTCCAAACAAAAGCCTGGAAGGGGAGAGAAGGTGGCCTAGTACTAGATGTAAAATGGTATGCTATCTGCTATAATTTGAAGTTAGAGGTGACCGTTTAATTATAAGTCACGTATTTTTAAAATGCAATATGTTAAAAGAAAGTTACTTAATTTACAAAACAAAACAAAAATGCCATCACTAACAAAACAACAAAGGATGTGAAATGGAATCATAAAAAAAAAACCACTGGATCCAAAAGAAGGCAGCAAGGGAGTAAAAGAAGTATGAAGAACAGAAGAGATAAACAAAAAACAAACAGCAAAATGACAGACTCCAACCTAATCACATCAAAAATCATATTCAACATAAATGGTCTGTATGCCCCAATTAAAGGCAGAAATTGTCAGCTGGCTAGAATAGCAAGATAAAATTATGTACTGCTGAAGAGGAACGTACTGTAAACATGAACACACAAGTCGATTAAAAGTAAAAGGGAGACAGCATCGTGCTTGGCAACATGAATACGAGTTTGTTTATTTTTTAAGGTGAAATGAAGCTTTTTATCCTCTCTGGAGAAGCCTATGTTCTCTCTTGAAAATGTATTTCTCCTTTTATGTCCTCTCACACTTCTCTAAGGAAATCTCTTTTAATAAAAACTATTTTTAAAAAAATTAAACAAAACAAAACAAATGGTTCTGTCAATATCAAAGAATCCTGCCAAGCTTAAAGACGCTTGTACCATATTGATGGAAGGAGAAAGAGGAATGAACAATACTACATGTTTATGCTCCAAGACAAAGCTTCACCATGCAGAATGAACACTGATGGAACGCTTTACCCCATTCTGAAACACCTACCAGCACCCGTTTGCTCTTCATAGCTATCATTTTGTCATTTGAGAACGTAAGAAGAACAGAACCACACAGACTCAATTTTAAGCATCTTCTAGCATGTTTTCTTTATACTGCTTATGAAAATGAAATTTAGTACTATTCAAAATTTTTCCCAAAAAAATATCTGAAACAGGTTGTGGTTTTCTCTGCTTTTCCTCCCTGCTGACTATAACTTTTCAAGCATCACATTAAAAAAAAAAACTGTCTCAAGGCGTAGAAAAGGTAATCTCTCTATGGCAGCTATAGATCCTTTAGATTATTTCAGTTCCACAGTACATCCTTCAAGTTAAACTGAGGGATTACCTCTTTTTTGGTTTGTTTGTTTCCTTCTGTTCCAATAGAAAACTTTGGTTCTAGTATTTCTTGCCAGTTCTCCTTCAGTTTTCACATTTCCCCAGAATTTAAATTTTTAAAATGAACAAAGACCCAAGGTCTAAAAAACATATATTTTAATAATTCTGTGAGGAAAGCAGAGTTTCTGTTTTTCCTAGAAAAGCTGGAAGTCCAGAGAATTTGCATAGCCTAAAATGTCAAAAGAAAAAAAAACTGGAATTACTAAGTACAAATACTGACATTAATGTATTCTGCTGAAAATGCCAGGGTTTTCTAAAATATGCTGAGACACCACAGCCCCGATAACACTGAAGCCCATTTAGGAGAAAAGTCATCTTTTTTCTCATCATTCAGACAAAACAATTTGCCGTTTGACTGAATCCTTCTAACATAGAATTCTAAATGAGATGCTCTACTTACACTATTTTGCCTCTCATTAACTATAGCGTCCCTGTCAAAACTAACCTTTCTGCTCTCTTCATTCATTTATCAATTAGTAGTTTTAATTAAAAATGAGCCCATCCAGTCCCTAGCCATATGGAGTTTGGGGATGTTACAGTAAAGACACTAACTCAAACACACAGGTAGATAGTAACAGCTTCTAGATGAAAAATGGGGACTCTAAAACCTTATAGACACATTGTAAGATTTTTTTTTCCTTTTCAACAGGGATTGAACCTGCAAGCAAAACATAAGTGTCAACTCTTTGAGATTTCTCCCCAACCTGGTTGTTAAGTTTCTGCTCTGATAGCCACAGAGTCAAAGAAATCACACCATAGCACAGCGATAGGGCATTTGCCTTGCGCACAGCCAGCCCTGCCGAGCAGAGTTCGATTCCTCCTCTGCTCTCAGAGAGCCCGGCAAGCTACCAAGAGTATCCGGC